AGCATTGTCCTGTGCACTGAAAGGTTGCCAGTTCGATTCCTGGTCAGGAAACATACCTGGGTTGTGGGTTTGACCCCCAGTTGGAAGGCAACCGATCAATGTATCTCTCTCACATTGATGTTTCTCTCTCACTTCTCTCTCTTCCTTCCTCTCTCTAAGCATGTTCTCAGGCAAGGATTTAAAAAAATGACATCAATATCTTATATTTCTGAGTCAAAAATTAAATTTACATATCCATTTTGACATGAGGTGCTAAACCCTTCAATTCTACTGTTAGAGTAAATATTTGTAATGCAGTTTGGGCTTCATGCTTAGCTTTGACTTCTATTTCATAACATCTGCTCTGCCTTGCTTTCCGGATTGCTGTCTCTGCACATTGTGGAAATACCTTTTCTCTCTAACTTAGGTCTGTTTCCCATTTTGTATACATTATCTTAAAACCAAAGTCTTCCCACTAACCGGCTTCAATTATTTTCTTGTGTATCCTAACACCTTATTATGGATTTCCTTTTCTATCCTTGTCTAAAATATCCTAAATGGTTAGAGGATGCTGTCTAATTTAAATCACCCCGAGGCCAGGCATATGCCTTAGATCCCAGACAGCTTGTCTTATACAGTGGTGGAGATGGGAAAGGATTAACTAGGAGAGGGAAATACATGGCTATTAAATACTGTTTTTCCCAAGAGTGTTATATCCTAGACTTTTAAGGACCGTGATATAAAAAATAACTGTTGCTGTTTTCCTACACAGTTTTTGTTCTGTCAGAGACATGATGTTACTGGATGTACCAGTAGTCTGGCCCCAAATGGGCTTGGGATTTAGTGTATATCCTTAAAATCACAACATTTTAGGTGTGGATGTGGCTTTATGCTACCATTGGATAATAGCCCTCAGATTCCCCTTCTTCCTACAGGACTTAACATCATTGTCATTTCTTTTTATCGAAACTTCCCCAGACTACCCCTCTCTCTTGGGTTAGCTTCCCCCCATGCCCCTTTGCCAATCTCTCAGTCACTCCTCTATTGACGTATGTATCACACTGTTCCAGCATTTGTTTATATGTGTGTCTTCCCCCTTGGACTGTACGCTGTGTAAAGGCGGGAAAGGGTGTCTTTGACCACATACTTTCCATGCCTAGCTCAAAGCCTGGTTTATGGTAGGCACTTAATGAAGATTAACACCTTCCTAGTAACAACTCCCAAATCTCTGTGGCTTAAGACAGTCTAGGGTTGGCAAGGGCCCTATTCTATGGTGTCCTTGTTGTAGAGGGTAGGCTAATGAATCCTCCACAAACTTGAATGCATGCTACTCATCTTAGCAGTAAGATGAAAATGATGAATCTTGCTATGGCCCTTGACAGTTCAACTTGTAATTGACATGTCACTTTCTCTCATATTTGATTGCTCTAAGCAAGGGACATAGCCATACCTAATGTCACAGGAACGAGGAAGAGCAACATCGCTATGTTTCTGAAGGAGGAGAACAGGAATATTAGTGGGCTTCACTAATGCCTGCTAATCCAAAGTCTGATGTGTGGTTGGCACTTAATACCTACCTAATGAAATACTTACAAATACCTATTGAGATTTAAATTTTTTTCTATACAGTAAGCAGAACCACTTGAAATCATGAAATATCCTAATAACTACATTTTTTTAAAAAATTAAGATACTAATATTATTGTCTAAGCTATGTTGGACAAACATCTGAAGACTTTTTAAAATAACACTTTGTTCACTTTATTCATATTAGGGAAAGTATTATATTTGATTTTGTAGTGTTTCAGATACATAAAATATGAAATGGGTACATTTTCATAATTAACATTTTGCCTGAGTCATTTAGAAGAGTTCAGAAAAGAAGAGTCATGTAGAAGTCTTCAAATATTTGCGTATTAAATTAGTCTAATAAAAAGTACTTTAAAATAAACTTTTTTTGGAAGAGCTAATATCTGGCTCAAAAATTGGTCCGGAGCTTAGGAAAAATGGGTCTAATTAACTTTAAAACGAAGTCTAACTATAGATTGTATTCTAGTATTTTATACTAAGTGGGTTTTTTTTCTAATTTGTAAAGTAACACGAATGCATTGTTTAAAATGTGAAAAATAAAAACTACTATGAGAAAGATGAATTAAAAATCACCACCCAGATAAACCACTGCTAACTTTTTGTTGTGATTCCGTCTATGGTTATTCTTGTTGCAGGAGAAGAGGCATATAGACAAGGCAATCCTATATAATAAAAGGGTAATATGCAAATTGTCCCTCCACCAGGAGTTTGACAGGAGTTCAACCAGGGAGTAGGGCCAGCCTACCAACCGTCCAGGGCCCCTCCCCCTGGCCAGCCCCGCCCCCTGATTGGCCTCCCCACCCCAATCAGGGGCAGGGCCAGCCAACCAACCTTGTGCGTGCCCTCCCCACAGCTGGCTCTGCCCAATCTGCCCTGATCGGGGTGGTCTGGTCAGACCCCACCTGTGCATGATTTCGTGCACCAGGCCTCTAGTAGAAGATATTGGCTTGCAATAGGGAGGTAGCAGGGGGAATGGTAAGAAACGATCAGATTAGAATATGTTTGAAGAACATGTTGGTAGGATTTGTTGATGGATAAAATGAGGAGGGAGATGATAGATAAGTGATAGAGGACACAGGAGATGGTGAAGGAGAAAGTCTTGCCCCCACACCCCAATAATATCCTCAGTATCCCAACTATTTTCTGGTGTCCTCAATGATAAAATATCTAACTTGAGGGAATTGGCCAAGGTTTGCTGGAATTTCAATGTGGCAAACCAACCAGAGATGAAACCAGTTGGGAACAGAAGGGGCCAAGCCTAGAGGTCATCTTGGTTTCAGTCCCCCAAGGAGGCATAGTGAGATATGTCTCAGACCAGGCTGCTGTTGCTTTCATGGTCAGAATGATGGGAGACAGTTGCTGAGAGGGACATAGGGACATTTTTCTTGGGGGCAGAGATGGCACTGTTCCTGAGAAACAAAAGACTAGGCAAGAGCCAGAGGGCAGGGCCAGATTCCAGCTGGGTGGCAATTCTAAAGGAGAATTCCAATTTTATTTACTTTTGTGAGGATACTTCAAAAGCTAGTCATCTGCTTATATATCAGGGCAGGGCTTTTGGTTGGAAGATAAGGAATCCAAGGCAGAGCTTGTTGGGGGATACAGCTTTATGGGCAGATGGATGCTAAGCCCATCACTAGGATTTAAGCAGCCAGACTGTTTGTTGGCCCCGCTCTGTGGATAAAAGCAATTCCTTATTAGGCTGCCTGAACTTGCCTAGGAAGTCTGTGACGCCGAGCAGGCAAGACGCAGTTCCTTCAGTCTGTGGCTGGGAGGGAGTGGGGAAGGCTGTGACGAAATTAAAAACATGTTCATCGAGTGTCTCACCCATGGAACTTGGGGGTCAGGAGAGGGTGGAGATAAGATAGAAGTACGAGACTTATCCCTCTTCCTTAATCTTGTGGCCTAGTGACAGAAACAAGCACATTATGAAACTGATTACTAACCATAAGCAACACTGTTTAAATAGAGACCAGAGATATAAAAACTAGGGTTGAGATGCCTGAGGAGTTAGTTGGAGGACCATCTTAGCAGTGCATGAGTTCAGTGAGAATGTCTGTGTGTCCACTTTGATGATGATCTGAAGATAATTTTTTTATCAATTAGATGTATAAACCTTCTCACATGCAGTGATAATTTTTATTTTTTAAAATTTTTATGTACTTATTTATTTATTTTAAAAACAGCATTTATCAAGGATTTAACCTTTATTGATTTTAATTTTTTTTGTTAATCCTCACCTGAGGATATTTTTCCATTGTTTTTTAGAGAAAGTAGAAGGGAGGGGGAGAGACAGAGAAAGAGAAACATCAATGTGAGAAATACATCCATTGGTTGCCTCCTGCATGCACCCCAACCAGGGCCAGGGTTAGAACCTGCAACCAAGATATCTCTGCCCTTGACCAGAATAGAACTCAGGACCCTCCAGTCTGCAGGGTGACGTTCTATTCACTGAGCCAAACAGGCTAGGGCTGCAGTGATAATTTTTAATTAAGATATAGTTTTATAGACTGAAACTTTAGTTTCTTAAGTTAATATTGTTCAAGCTAGCATCCAAATATGTCCATATGGTTGCATACATTTCAAAAAAATTGTAAGCATGGAAGATAGAATCCTAATCTGAGTCTTGAGGAATGGGTGGGTTCAAAAAGGTGCAAAAGAGGGAGAAAGGTGTTTCTGAGAGAGGAGGGAGTTTGAGATGAAGGATGAGCATGGTGCATTTGGGGTACCCAGAGCTTGAAAGAAAAGTCAGTTTCAGGTTTTTAAGAATTCTGTCCACCCTTTTCCTGAATACTATGGTAATTTGGGAAACACTGTTTCTTCTATTACTTGCCTTTTCCTGGTGGGTACAGGAGCTGTTGCAAGTCTCTTTGTTGAGGTTTGTTGAAACCCCTCTTAAAGGACCATCTTCTTACCTTGATGGGTTTTTTTGTCAGCATCTAACATAAAATGTTCTTTCTCAGCCAAAATGTGAATTTTGTTTTCTCAGGACCTTATTTCTGAGCAGTTAATGATTCTAGCAGAGACATGTAAAGGAGGGCCCATTGCATCCTCCTTTTGGGTGTTTGCTAGGTGCTCAGGAAGCAGGTGGTCTGCCCAGGACCGGAACCCTGAAGGGAAATAGGCTTTTTTTTATGTACCAGCCTAATCCTTCACCTGCATTTAGGGATTTGTTCCTCTCAAATGTCACTGATATCCTTTTGAGCTTCTTCTTTTTTTTTTCTTTTGAACAGTCAACATCCCAGATCAGTGGTCCTTATTCTCCTTCATTTTGCAGTACACGTCTGTTAGGTTTATTACTAAAACAGAGATTGTGTTTGTTAATTACATTAGGTCAGGCCGCAAGGCTATTTGTTCAGATGTGGGCTGATAAGAACTTGGTCTTTTTAAACCTTCTTTAAGTAAAACTTTCTCTTTTTTCTTTTCCTTTACAGATTCCAGCAACATTATGGCAGAGCATAGCCATGTGCAACAACAGCTGGATTTACAGAATGGTAGTTTAGAGGCACGCTTTGCGGCAAATTCCCTTGAGAACGATTCCCAAAACATGATGGAGAGCCTGAGCCCGAAGAAGTATTCTTCCAGCCTGAGATTTAAAGCCAACGGAGACTATTCTGGCTCCTACCTGACCCTCTCACAGCCTGTGCCTGCGAAAAGAAGCCCTTCCCCTTTGGGGACCAGTGTCAGAAGTAGCCCCTCCCTGGCCAAAATCCAGGGAAGCAAGCCATTCTCTTGTGATGGCACTGACAAGAATATTTCCATGAAGCCTCCTCCCACTCCTTTACGCAGCACTTCACCCTCGGTCGGTGGATATCCACGTGGGAGAACGGACTTTGATCATTACACTGGCCGGGACAGTGAAAGGTCCTTGAGGCTTTCGGAGAAGCCTCCCTATTCCAAACATAGCTCCAGAAACAAATCCCATGACAACGTCTACTTCCTCGGAGGGCTGGAAAGCCGCAAGGCGTCCGGCTCCCTCCTGGCCATGTGGAATGGGAGCTCCCTGAGCGACACCAGCCCCTCTCCCATCAGCAGATCAGGGGCGGCGAGCATGCCCTCAAGCCCAAAGCAAGCCAGAAAAATGAGCATCCAGGACAGCCTGACCCTGCAGCCCAAATTGACCAGACACAAGGAGCCGGCATCTGAGAACATCGGTGTAAGAACTAGGAAGTATTCGGGCAGCAGCCTGAGTCACATGGGAGCCTACAGCCGATCGCTGCCCAGGTTGCACAGGGCCACAGAGAACCAGCTGACGCCTCTCACGTTGCCTCCAAGAAACTCTCTGGGCAATTCCAAACGAGCCAAGCCGGGGGACAAGGACCTACCTCATAGCATCATAGACAACGACAATTACCTGAATTTTTCTTCTTTGAGCTCAGGCGCTTTACCCTATAAAACCTCTGTGTCCGAGGGCAGTCCTTACGTAAGCTCCACCCTCAGTGTCCCGGGCAGCCCTCGCCTGGCGCGGAAGATGCTTCTGGCCTCCACCTCCTCCTGTGCCTCTGATGACCTCGATAAGGCTTCCTACTCGGGGACCAGCTCCAATCATTCGTTTCCTCCTGGAGAGCCAGACAGAGTGTTCGTGGCCAGGAGGAACTTCTCTTGTGGGTCTGTCGACTTGGATGATGCAGATTTGGAGAGCCTCAGACAGGCCTCAGGAACTCCCCAGCCTGTCCTTCGGGAGCGGAAAAGCAGCATCAGTTCCATTTCAGGACGAGACGACCTGATGGATTACCACCGGCGGCAAAGGGAGGAGAGACTCAGGGAGCAGGAGATGGAGCGATTGGTAATCACCTGACTTGACCTCACTGTTTCATTGAACAGCTTCTTGGAGAAGAACTCCAAGGTTTTATGTGGGCACGTAGAATTTCCATGTGCACCAGCCACTGCTGTGCCTTCCTAGAATTTCTCCCACTATCTCTCTCTCTCCTCTTCCCAGGTCACTGTCATTGGTTAGCTATAGGTATTTAGAAGGTCCATATGTTCCTAATATTATGTTAAGTTGCCCTGCAGAGTTCTCGCAGGTATAAATTCCTGAGACACCTAACAAAGGTAGTTGTGAATTTTACTGAGTTTCTTATGTCTTACAGAATTTTTCTTTAAGACTGTCAGGAAACATCAATTTATAGTATGTATATCGTCAAATTTGTGTATACATGGTATCATAGAAATAATCAGCGAAACTAGAACGCATCAGGGTTTAGGCAGGAATCTGTATAGTCAGTTGTCTAGAAAATTGAAAGGTTGCCAAAATGGTGCTCAACCTTTTTTCTGCCCTGTTCGCCCACATACATACCTCACACTCCCTTCAGCCATGTCTCTTAGTATATATAGTGACTCCCGACTACATATAATCAAATGTTTTTGCTTCTCCTTTTCTATTTAAAATGGGTTTATGCTTATTTGGGAAAATATTAAAAATAATGAGAAAGGAATGAGCATTCCTTGAGAAGTCCATAATGAATGAGGACAAATTACTGCATTTTTAAATTCTTTTTTCTTTTAAGCATACTTTTTTTTGCTTGTTTTGGTTTTGTTTATGGGATGAATCGCTGTCACAGATTAGGTTAATTCATTAATGATGAATTCTGTATTTCTTTAATGAGGGAAGCAGCAGGATGGTAAAGCTGGTTTACAAAAGTATAGGAGTATCAAAAGTGTTTTAGTTACTGAAAGGAAGTATGCTGGAATAAGATTTCTGAGTTATATACCAAACATGTTAATGCCCTATAGGATAATACAAATGTAACCTTTGTGTTGATTATAATGGGCAGAAATCATTGGCATCTATACAGGACAAAATTTGTTTAACATTTTAGCAAAAGAATAATTTGCATTACTCATAGATTTGATAATTTAATGTCTACTGTTGCAGTGTTTTGAGATATCCTAATATGTAATAGTAAGAATACAAATGTGTGTATCCTCAGGGAGTTAGATATTCCTCAGGTGTGTCTATTGGATGATGCTCCAATATGACAGTTTCCTTTGTCATCATAATCTCCAGAGGTTTTTCATGGTCAGAAAAAGGCGTTGTATTTGGGCTTGATTCATTGGCATAAGTTAGAAGAAGTTCTAATTAACATATGAAAGCTGTATTGTATGTGGATAGCAAACCTACTACTGTACCGTGTTGAACAACTGTTATTAATGGAGTAGAAGAGTTAACATCTATTTAATTTATTAAGAAATCTAGAAGAACATTTCAGTGCTTTCCATCGCTCCAAAGATCTTCCTCAAATGCTCTTATTTACTCTTGTGTTCCAAGCATAGGAAAGCAAACTCAAAATTCATTTCCACTGGCTTTCATCTTTAGCACTTATAAGTGTTGGTGAATTTCTCTTTCCTCTAGTGTCCCCACATCTGCTGAGGCTCCTGGAAATCCCAGGTGACCTTCCTTACTGCCTGTAAACTTGATGCCTTGTAAGCCACCAGGAGGTCCCAGTTCAACTTCTTGGAAGAGCTTTGTGGCTCCAAATATAAAGTTACAACTCTTTTCCTTTAATAATGGGCTTGTCATAGCTGATGAAATGATGCTTATTTTTAAATATGACAGTCTAGGTTTGGATTCTGTGGCATAGAATATTTGTCTGATTACATCCTAGTAAAACCGAGGACAGATTCTATTGAGCCTCTGCAAGTAATGTTACTGCCATTAAAAAGTAAAGAGTCTTAGGAAAAATATTGGTTCCTGATTTCTGAGGGACCAAGCAGAGCAAGCTACCATTAAGAGAATGTTTTATTTAGTTTACAAAATCATAGTCAGCTAAATTGAAGGTTAGAGATAGGACAAGATGAATGCTAAAGGGTCTTCCCATCAGAAAATAGAACATTGAAAATAATACCAGTAATTTTCCAAAACACATATTTACATTTAGAAATTAGATTTCCTGTATCAGTTCCATCATTTCTATGTAATTCATTCTTATTCCTGTGCGTCTTGGGTCATTGCTAACATGAAGTCATCTATTTCTGGACTAAAATAAGTCCTGAAAATCTGATGCGGCTGCCTAGCACTGTCTTGTACTTGTCTACATAATGTCAGCTGAGAAGCTTCTACCCATAAGTCTATTCTTTAAACTCTCAAGAGTGAAGAGTACCTGGCAAACTTCTTCCAATGAGGCTCTGAGACTGTCTTTTTTTGTTAAGGCACATTCTAGCCTATAACTTAAGCAGAGTCTTTAGGTAAACATGAGAGAAAAGCAGAGACTAATGATGAGGTTAAGAGTAAATGGCCATGGTTAATCTATGGTTAATGTAATAAACAGTGTCAGTAAAAAGGAGAGCTAAAATCTATTGGGGCATAAGGCATTGGTCTTATTTAATCAGTGTTTCCCCTGAAGGTAAGAATGTATCACAGATAATGAGGACATTGATATACGGTATATCCAGAACCTTTCCATAAGTATGCATCTCTGATCTTTATTTGTATTATAACTAGAGGCCCAATGCACGAAATTCGTGCAAGAGCAGGCCTTCCTTCCCCTGGCTGCTGGCACCAGCTTCCCTCCAGCACCCGGGACCTGGGCTTCCCTCCAGCCACTGGAAGGAACCTGGGACCTGGGCTTTCTCTCACAGCCCCAGCTTCATCCGTAAGGTCATTCGGAAGGATGTCTGGTCTAATTAGCATATTATGCTTTTATTATTAAAGATATTTTACCTGTACAAAATTATCCTGGGAAAGGCAAACTTCTCATTTGATTTGACAAGTTTTCCTATGCGATTCTTGATAGTTTTGACCTATTTATAAATAAGGGGTCTACAAAACAAACCTAATTGTTTCTAGCTTTTTTTTTTTTTTTTTTTTTGTAGGATTAAGGAAAAAATCTTGTGATTGCCCAGGGGTCCTCTGGGAAAATTTAAAGATTGTTCAGGTATAAAAGATATCGTGGATTTTTTTTTTCTTTCTAAATTTAGGGTCTGATCTTGGTAAGGCAAAATCAAATATTCACCAGAAATTTTATCACTTGAATAATATAGGATTGTCCATGTCTTTGAACAACAAGTGTTCGCAGTTTGGTTACCTAATAATTAAGTGACAATGGGTTATTTTATAATAAACAAGAAGTCTTAAATCATTTAGAAATGAGGAAGATTTTTGTCATTTTATTATTTTTTTAAAAATATATTTTATTGATTTTTTACAGAGAGGAAGGGAGAAGGATAGAGAGTTAGAAACATCGATGAGAGAGAAACATTGATCAGCTGCCTCCTACACACCTCCTACTGGGGATGTGCCCGCAACAAGATACATGTCCTTGACTGGAATCAAACCTGGGACCTTTCAGTCTGCAGGCCAACGCTCTATCCACCGAGCCAAACCAGTTAGGGTGACTTTTGTCATTTTAAAAATGCAAGGATATATCCCAGTTAGCATAGGTGCACAAAGTTCCTCTTGTGAGATACCGAAACTGCTTTCTGGGCAGATTACACAAAAAAATAAATTTTTCCTGCCTTTCGTAAGCATAGGCTGATTTCTCCAAGACCAATGTTCCGTTTCAGTAAAGATAACTTCATTGTAGTTTTACATTAATAGGGTACTTGTCATGCATTACATTTAACAAAAATAAGTACTTCATAAATAAACCTTTGTAAACTTTGCCAGAATTTTAGCATCTTATTATGTCCTTATAGACTTAACTCTTTGCAGGTGTTACAAACCAAGTCAAATAAAGCTCCATTTCTGCAGACCTACAATTTTAAAATTTTCATCAACTTTTGTTCTTCGCGGTTTTCTTTCATTCTGAAACAACCAGACACTTTAAGACAAAAATACTTAAAGATATTGGAAATTAGGTTTAAGCTGACACATCACAGAACATACTTATTATTGATTTTAAAAGGTTGGTTACCCATATAATTTTGTTTAGTTGAGCACAAATTTTATATTTTTCATAATCTTAAGCATCATATGAAAGTAACTTAGCTTATCTTTGAAGTAAACTAATGTATGACATTTAAGAAGTTCAGATAAACTAATCTCTTTATGTTAAACCAAATCCAAACTATTTAAAATGAAATTATACTTGAATTATGCTATATACTGATTAAATAAGGAAAAGGAAAAGAGCTGTTTTTAAAATAAGATTATCAAGTCAGTCTGACTTATATAAGCATTCACTTTCATCATGGAAACATATTTCCTAAGGGGGAAAATACTTTATGAAGTCAGCAGTTTTGATGAGAAAGGTCTTTTTCTCAAAAAGGAACACATCAAAATTCTTAGAATTTTATTTTGTAGAATTTGAGAACTGTGAGATTTATTTAAATGCTATTACTCTCTATAAACTAATCAGAAGCAGAGGTCCTTATATTTTAATTTATTATTGTCCTCAGGAGGTAGGAAAATATTTTTCATTCACACAAGTGATTCCTCCGCCCCCCCGTCCCCTCCCCCCCCCCCCCACACTCAGGTACAGAGCTCAGACAAATAAAGAACTTAGAGCGTAAGTTCAATGGCCTCTGCTACAGATCAAAAGTAAACACTGGAGCAAGACTAATGGCTTTTCCACTGGGCACAAAATATTGTCCTGATTTGAACTCACAAATAGAAAAGCAGCAAACAAGTTAAAACCAACAATAAACAAATGTCCAGTCATCTTTCACCTGAGCAAGACTAGATTCCAGTTCTACTAGACAGATCACCAAGTGGTCAGACCACAGAACCAGATTCCCAGTCACTGCTGCCACCAATGGGGATAATAACTACAGGTTGTTTGCAAACCAAAACCCCAATCAAACTTGGCTGAGAATCCGAAACAAAAACAAAAGCACAGGGTAGGAAAA